AGCCGGGCACCGCGGTCCGCAGGCACGAGCTATGGCAGAAAGCGGGTCCGGACAAGCACATTTACCATGTCCGTGGCCTTTATGCCTCTACCATCCCCAGCAGGAGTAAAACACAGGGGAGGAAGCCTGCCAACACCCAGCACGGGGGCTTTGGAAAGCAAGCGAGGTGGAGACCAGCAGCGTGCAGGCAGCTTGCGGAGATGGGAGCGGGTGGCTGGGGACCCGGGCTCACACTGCTACCGGCTACAGAAGCAACCACTGTACTTGGGGATGATCAGATGTTAAACTGACAGCACAAGTCCATCCTACAACAGCAGTGACTACAGCAATTAGCAATCCACTATGCTCTTGACATGCAAATTAAGCAGCACCACTGGAGAGCTGTGCCCTGTGCCGGTTAGCGACCAGCTCGGCTCCTCGGCCGCAGGCAGAGGACCCGGGCAGCTGGAGCGGCACATGCTGTCTTTAGCTGACAGTTTCACTATTGCTGTTGAAGAGCCTTCTAAAAGTAAAGCAGACTGCAACAAAACAAAACACTAATAGATTCACGTGGCAATACAATAATCCCTTAAATTTTAAGGTAAGTTAAATTCCGTACAAATCAAACTTCCAAAAATATTTTGCAAACTCTGGCATATGGCTATGATACAGTATGTACAAATAAAATACCAGAATGGTTCCATCTTATTGCTAGGTTGGGTTTTTTTATTATTATTTGGTTAAGGAATTATACAGTAGCATATAAAAGGGTGTGGGAAGTGGCAAGAAGTAAGTGTTGGCTTCTTGTCCTCTCAAAAGTCAAGGTTGGTTAGTTTTGTTTTTAAATACTGTATTTTCAAATGTCACATCAAAAGCATCTCCATATTGGGTCATGTCTGCATTACGCAAACAGGATAGAAGAGCAACAGTGAAAGAAGCCTAGGCAACGGGTGACAGGGTTCCATTTGTACATTCCTTCACTGATTCATACTGCAGAAGACAATTATTCATAAAACATCCAGTCTAAAGTTTTATATAGGTCAACAATTACGAACCGACTTCCACATAAACTGATGTTTCAGCAACTTCAGTTCACTAACCATGCAAAAAACTCCCAACAAGATCAGCGATATTCGTCAGCAAAATCATCTGAATTGGCCCGGATCTAGCCTGCAAAAGAATCCCTTCTGCAAAAGTAATTTTCTATCTTCCAGAAACACTCAGTGTTTAGATCCACTAGGATAAACAAACCCTTAAGCTCCTCTATAGTAAGGAAACCTCACTTACAAAGGATGCGTCAGTGGAGAAGGTGGATGCGACTGCATGTTCCTATCCTGCTTTTTCCATCTTCTGTTGGCGAGAACACAAAAGGTAAAGGTACCAAGAAGGGATCATGCTCACGTTAGTCAGGAAACAGCCCACAGATCTGCCCTGGGCCTTGCCCACCCGCTCACGCTCCCAGTGACCAGGAGCTTTACTTGGGACACTTCAGAGTGACCCCAACAACAGCAGATGGAAGAAACCGGCAGCACCAGCAACGCTGTTGCAAAAATCTCCAGTGACCAGTCAGCGGGACCGTCAGCACACTGCTGATCATATCCGAGGCGTGAACTATTCAGGTGCTGCTCAGCAGGCTCCATTGTAGAGTTCTACCTCTTAAAGCATTTGTTAAAGTTCTTCAATAGCTTTCTTTTTTTAAAAAAATAGGCTCATCTTGCAAAATAATCTGGACACAATACAGCAAAGCTAGAAGAATGCTGAAGTGAAAACCCAAGCACTTGTTAGGTAATTGCTCCTGTAGGCTCATGATATAAAAACATTTTCAACTCTTCCCTCTAAAAATATATCCTGCTGTAGATGGGCATGATTCACCACTCCTGCTTTCCTCTGAGTCCAAACTCATTCATGGATATAGTTAGACAAAATTAGAAATTTAGCTGAAGCTCTTAACCAGTCCTTTCAGGCTCAGTCTCTCCTCATAAAACAGCTTACTACCAACACAGCCCCTGACACAAACTTCCCCTTAAATATGCATAATTTACTCTATCTCAGATATTTACAAGCAGAAGGCGGCCATCTTTACAAGACAGATTTCCTTCTGCTCTACATAAAGTGCAGCTCTCTAATTTAAGGCAAATTTCAGTGAAATATAAAACCATAGTTTTATTTTCGTATGTACACATTTTAAATTAAAAAGAACTCCTTTGAAAAGGAAAGAATGAAAGGAAAATGTTTCCAAGTTTGGGAATTTTCTGGAATTTAACATAGTCCCAATATTATGTCCTATCGACACAGAAATTTGTAAATTTCTTTTCAATAAATGCAAACAAAAAGAGGTGGCAATGTGTACAGTAATTTAGCTCCAAAGATCAGTAAAACACTGGGAAAGTGCAGACGTAGTTTTTCATGTCCCGTAGTTTCCTTTAGCTACAGTAGCATCCATCAATATCACATTTCTAAATATATAACCTATACACCTAAAGCTAATCTCAGTTCTTGTAATGAGTATTTCTCATCTCCATCTGTGTCAAATTTCTTAAAGCTCCATGACTCTGGGGTTGTAGAGCCAAGCAGCTTTTGAAGATCTTCATATGATAGTTTTCCATCAACATCTTCACTTGCTTTTTCAAACAAATTCTGAAGATCTGCAAAGAGAAAAGCATTTAGAAACAGGTCCTTTAAGTACACAGGAATATCCTATAAGGTGCTCTTCCAGTTTTACTGCACTATGTCTTACTACCTAGTAATTAAATAAAGCATCCCCAAGTACGTAGTTTGCCTTCTGTGTTGTTGCAAGCTGTCAGTAGCAGGTTAAGAGAAGGAAGAATAAACATTTCTGGATTACATTAAATCTGGAAAAAAAAAAAAAAATCCCTATTTCTGGCCACAACTAATAGCCCATTCTAGAACCACTGACTGCATACAGATGAAGTTATTCTCCACAAAAGCCAGCTCTGAATGACTGTTGCTATACCAACAGCACAGATGATATAAAGGGAAAAGTGTCTATTCATTTCCTGATGCAAAGCACTGCCCTTTCAGTAGCGGAAGAGACTGAATAGCAAGACCCAGAAACCATTTGTTTGACCAGTCAGCGTTCTCCTAAAAAAAATAAAGAAAAAACAAACTACACTCACACCTACTTCACTGTCCTTCAGCACCCTAACTTTGCCTTTGGCTTCTCTCTCAATCTCCGGGGCACTTAATATAATACTTTGGCACTCAATTACAATTCACTTATAATGCACACTCCTGATTAAATCCCAGTTTCTTTTCTTTAACATGCTAGTCTTTTCTTTTAGGTTGTTTGGTTGGTTTTTTTTGACTAATTTAAAAAAAACCAAAACAGTCTGTAGTTTGCTTTTAAAATTGACCTCAATTTTCCCAGAACGCCCAGACACACTACCATAATACCAGTTACACTTATCGTCTCCTAAACATTTACATGAAGTATTCAGAAAAATAAGAGGTCAGCCCAGAAAGGACATACCTTCGATGCTGGAAATTCCTGGTAAGGACAGATGTCTCAGCTGTCCGTTTCCCTCTGTGTTGTCATCAGCTGACCTTGAAGCCAGCCTTGAAAGGTCTGTGGGCTTTGCCGTAGTACTCGGACTACTTCCAACTGTTACAAAAAAATTTCTATTAGTCTTACTAATTCCACAGAATTACAGTTAGCAGAAACAAAAAAAATCCAATCAAATGAATTATTTTTTTTTATTACAGATATTATATGGGATAAGAATGCTGCAAAATCATTTCAGAATACAGCAGTGTTGTCCCCTTTTACCAATAACAGGAAGAACAGACGGAAAGAAAATTTATTTTGGACAGTTACACAGCTTTAATCTTTCATGTTGTACTAGGAGATGTGCATTTGTAAACTCCTTACAAAGAATGACTTGGAATCACTTTCTACTTCCCAGTCTGAAAGTGCTGGACAAGCTTTATTAAGCAAATTACATCTAAATTTTCACCTTGTCAATGCAAGTATCTATCTTTCCCAACAGCAAAGTCTAAACTTCCAAGTTGCCGATTAACAAATTAACAACAAGCACAGTTTAATTGTAATGAAGTATTTCAAATCTTATCTTTAGCACTACCTGAATATATACAGCAAGAGTGCAGAACTGAGGTAAGGCAGCAGAGATACAGACCTTTCCTCTATGTTACACTTAGATTTTGAAAAAGCAAAACCAGATGTTACTGGGTATAAGTTTCTACAAGTTAATCACTGTGCCTTCAAATACAAGCTATTGATGCATATGACTCCTGCTATACACATGGAAAGTCACCTTCAAACTTCTCCAGTCATATACAGTTTTCTGGTTTAGAGCCATCAGTCCTACCACTTTGAAAGAATCTTCACCAAAAAGCTTAAGGAACAGTCTGAATTATCCACCTTCATTAGTTATTCTTTGAATTACACAGGGAACCGTCAGGTTTATAGATTACTATTATATGACACTCTTACCATTCTTTGATGTCTCAATGGGTCTGTCATTTTCTGGCTTGCCTGTTAGAGCACTGATCAGCTGAAGCTTCTCTCTTAGTTTTGATACCTGAGAATCTCTAGTTCCTGTTTCCTGCACAAGTAGAAAAAAAATTCTTGTGAAGCACCCCTTCAGTAGATAGAGAAGATCAGGAAAAGAAGTAATTCAAAATACGTAAGTACTCTTGAGTGACTGGGAGGTCTCCAGGCTGATCAAGTTTAAAATGATAAACAAGATTTAAAAATTTAAAAAATCTGCAAGGACTAAATTCATGCAGTCTGTAAGAAAACAATAGAATCAGTACCTCAACCTGAAAAGTAGGCAACTATTTTGCAGACACCAATTTCAAAAGAATCTGACATTTAATTTCTGTATTCCTTATATAAATGAGCAAGAATTAAAAAAACCCTAACATAAAACAGTCAAACAAACTTGGAGTGAACATTTATAATTAGTTGAATTGCATAATTCTTTCAATCATTTGTCTGCAGTACTGACTATCTTAGTGCTGAAGTTACTATATCCCTGTCAAAGTAAGACCACCACATTTTTTAATCTGGAGTTCCTTTGCTCTTTTTATGAGTAGTTTCCAGATTATAGATTGAGTTCACATCAACCCAAGCCTAGAACCGACAGTGTTCCCTCACCAGACTTCTTTCCAGAAGATCGAAACTAACCTCAGCAGCACCACCTCTTATCCCCAGCCCACAGTTTGCCCATTCAGGCTGTTAAACTCGTTCACAGACAGTCATCACATCAATTCCTAGACTCCACTAGTGCAAAGTTTGTCTAAGTAAACCCAAGAAAGTTTTTAAATCTGGATAAATGCCATAATCCCGTCTGCGGTGTGAACCCACAATAGTTGGGCTAGCTCTGCTGAGAGCAGGGCAATGGGTACTCAAATGAGCCGACTGCCAGAGCCCCCTGTTCCACTGGGCCTCGGTCTGAACTTCCCAAGATTCTTTCAGCTGCATGGAAGGATATTACAGCCGCTCTGCTATGTTATCCCATATGGAGTCAGAATGGCAAGACTTTAAACTATTACAACTCTTCTGCCATCCTAATTGACTTCCTGTCCCCAAAGTGGGGTGGATAAGCTGTCCTTCTACTCTGGACTTTTAAAAGCAACTTCTTCAGACTAGCTTGCAGATCTTTTCTCAATTAAGTCTCATTTAAAACATGATTATAAAGACACTGACATGTTCTACTAATCCAGTGTAGTTTGTGTTTCCCTACTGTACCTTTAGTTCTTTATATGAATGAGTTTCATTATCTAGTTGATCTTCATTTTCCACTTTTAGAGAGGTAGTTGCATCATTCCCCTACAGGAAAAACGGAGGAGAGCTGAGTTTATTCATGTGCTTATTATTTTCTACAAGAGAGTTTCTTTCCTTCAAATTTGGCAGGCATAAAGCAGGAAAAAAGTCAAGACAAATACATGGTAGGATAAACATGAAAACAGTGGGTTACGTAATTTACCACAACAACGTCAGCATGTTCCCTTATCGCTAAACATACAGAACACCTTCTCAGAGACTGGCCCCAGTATGGTATACAGAAAGCACTGGCAAGATTTACAAACGTATTTAGTTTTTTTCTTTTTAATATTTAAGCATCACTGAACAATCCAGAAGCCCACCTAGCTCCTCAGTGGTCTTAACAGACCCATCCCAGAGTGCCTTCCTAAAACATAGTTAAAGAGGTTTATGAATCCCATCCCATTAAGCAGTCACTCAAGTCTTAAATGTCACAGTGTTTTGGACATTTCTCTGCAGATTCTGCAGGGAAGAAATAACTACTTCGGAGATACTCTTAACATTGGTTATCCATTCAGAAATACGGAACAAATTCTAGCCTTTTACAATGAATTCTTAAGTGTCTCAAGTTTCATACTAACATTTTCTTTAGTAAGGTTTGAAAAGCTGTACCCATAGCGTATAAAGTATTGAAACTATCAGGCTGAGCAAACACCCTTAGTCATCAAATACTTACCACACTGGTAGACAAGTTCTCTTTTTTGTCCAGATTATTCACAGCAAGGGGAAAGTTTTCTAACAGCATAACCCTCCGGCTAAGGTCACCAATGCTTGAATCCACATTTAAAAGCTTGATATCATTCAACTTTTGGTACACCACTACAGAATTATTTAGCTCCTCCAAAGCTGCATGCAGTGACTGGCTTTCCTGAAATACAAACCCAGAACATATCAGTTTACTCTACCTCTGTAGCGCTCTTGCTATTAACAACATGGTGACTGACCCAGTTTAACCAGGCAGACTTCAGACTGGCTGCCCACCGAGCCAGCTGATAACATCCAACTGGAAGCTTCCAGAAAGTTATTCCAGCTTTCAAAGTTTGAAACTGAAATTTTCCTCAGGGCTAACCTCTTTGTTGCTAATGTAATCACTTCAACCATGCGGGCAAACACACAAAGCCCAGGGCAAGCTTAGTAACCACACCAACTATTTATTCCCAAGAAAGCATGTCTTAGGCATATTTATACACGGGAATCATTTCTGAGGAAGATATCAGCTGCATCAAATGAAAATAAATGCAGTCATTCCATTCCAAGCCATTCAACTAAACACTCACACATTATCCTTTCTTTTTTGTGGCTGAATCCCTGCTTTCCACACCTCATTACATTGAGGGTGACTCAACACATGCCACTCCCAAATTTACTCAGGTTGGCAACTACCTGCCATAAAATCCATTTGAAAAAAAGCCTTTACTCATTCCCATTTGCATAAGCAAAGTACACCTATAATTTATTTGATATTCATTTCAGTCTTTTTACTCCTCACCCAGTTAGAACACACAAAAAAAAATACTCAGACTAGGATACTCTCCTGTTTGCACATACACAGGAGCAAACTATAGATAACAAAAGATAACAAAATTATCTTGTATTTCATTTTGAAGCATGGTATTGGTATTGTCTTGATAAAAACCATACTTTTTTGTACACTACAGTACTGCACAATACACACAAAAAAGTATCAGTGATACTGGTACCAATATTCCTTATGCAAGGGAGAAAAATACCTGTTTGCAATTTTCTGTCTGATTTCTCTCAGTCCTTGGCACAACAGTGGAGGGAAGTGAAGGTATCTGTTTTAATTCCGTCTAAGGAAAGAAGTACAAAGTTATGTTACCAAATGCCTGTAAAAAACAATACTAAGCTTTTAATAACTGGCAGGCTGTAGCTAAGGATGTATTGCTACAGTTATAGTCACTCAAGTCTGTTGTGCATGCAATATTTTAACTAGGCTAATACAGAGTTTTCTCTTTCAAACACATAAGGTCTAAATTTATTTTAATTAAATCCTCCTAATTAGTTCTTCTCCCTTTAATGAAGTATTATGACACACACTTCACTGCTACCATACACACTGCCATATCTGCAATGTTTTCATAGCACCCACTGACTGAATAAAATTTTATGTGCCCAATTTAGATTTTATCTGCAAGCATTCTTACTAAAGTAATGCTGCATTGCATTTAGCAAAAAAAAAAACTTGTACTGGCTCAGTTTGTTAACCCCAAGTGAGAGGTCAGTATAAATACGACCTTTCTGCTAAAGATGGTCAGTAATTTCATCCTTACATGCATCCTTAATTCAACCAACAAACTATTTCAACACTTCCACCATCCCCAATCCTAAGACAGTGCAGACAGTTACCATATGCAGTGCCCAAAGCTCCACATCCGTGTAGCAGGGAGCAAAAATCTGCAGGAAAAGAAGTGTAGTAGGGACCAACAATTCTGTCTCCAGAGAAATACATACTTGGTACCACATCGGAGACATCACACAGGGATTAGCAGATTACCTTATTAAAGTACCAACCAGCACGTACTGAAACTTCGGAAGTATTTTGAAGGCATAAGGCAGAACTCCACACAGTTCTTAAACTTGCTTCATATTAGGCAGGTAACTTAAAACGCAGTGTTAAATCATTACATTTTCTTACCACATCGTTCTGAAGTATTTCTATGGATTTCTTGTATTCTTCGATAGCTGTCTGTATATTTTCAACATCATGGGAAACACTGGTAAGCGTGCTACCTATGTTCGCTACAGTCTGGAATAAAGAAGATGACAAAAATCTCAGTCTTCCTCAAACTGCACTGTCCCAAAGTTTCAATCTGCTAAACACAATGTTTTGTTAGCAAAACTGCAGGCAGACTGCCACAAAAATATGCACACGAATTTCAAGTATTCAGAACTTTCTTTGCAGACAAAACTGCAAATTATACCACATCATCTCCAGGCCAATAAACAAAGACACACTCTACACAATGACAGCTTAAGCTAGATAACTAAAATTACAGGTTTGCTACTCCCACTCCCAAAACAATACAAATGTTCTGGCATTAATTTAAAAAAAAAATAATCCTGATATGAAGACATCTTACCTCCTCTCTACATGGAGTATTTGTACTGAATACAAGGATGCTGACATCACCGATTTATCCTGCCTTAATTGTCTTTCAGGGCTACCCAGACACATCATACACCGCAAAACTAGTCTGCCAAAGGTTGCAGATTAGATTTTCAGCAAGTATTGCCTTTTTAAAAAAAGCAAGAATAGCTCTGAAGCATCAGCACAGTCCCTGTGAATTCTGCAGGTACAGTCAGTGTGCTCCAACAGCTGCCTTTGCTTCTGACTACCGCTGTCTCATCCTTCCCTTGCCTCCACGTATGTGAATTCCTCCTACCTCTAGCTCTAACTTTAGAAAGTAACTATTCTGTAAAGCTGCACTGGTGTTTCAGCAGCTGACAGCATAGCACCTACCAGTCAGACTGTCAGCCAGGACATCCACAAACACTAGTGGAATCATAGAATCTTAAGGTTGGAAAAGACCTCTACTATCAAGTCCAATCGTCAACCCAACACCACCAAAAGTCACAGTAACAGGACAAAGCATGCCCCTATGCTTCTCATTCCATTTTTAATACTTTCTTCAATCATTAAAACAAGCAGAACCCATCTAAAAATACCCTTTTCCTATGATCCCATTAAGCTCATAAGCTCTTAAGGCACCGAAGTGACCCTCTAGCTACCCAGACTATATTCAAAAGATATCCACACAAATCTTGCTCCAGCTTTTCATTTTGCAATTCTGAACACAGGTTCAGTAAGGAATCTCTCTGTCCTGGAGGATCTCAGGACACCTTTAGCACTTTTCATCAGCCTGAACAAGAGCCGCTGTCCAAGAGGAACTCCCTCAGGACTCTAACACCAGCAGGAACCTCCCAATTTTCAGGAACAGTACCTACAGGGAAAAAGACTTAAGAAAACCAAAATCCTATTCTAAGAACAGCAGCCTTTTCATATAATCATAGAATAATTTAGGTTGGAAAAGACCTTTGAGATCACTGAGGCAGTGCTAGCTTAACAGTTGGACAAGTCCATCACTAAACACCATGTCCCTAAGCACCACATCTACACATCTGCTAAATACCTCCAGCGATGGTGACTCCACCACTTCCCTAGGCAGCCCATTCCAATGCTTGATAATCCTTCCAGGAAAAATTTCTTCACTAATATCCAATCTAAACCTCTCCTGGCAGAACTTGAGGCCATTTCCTCTTCTCCTATCGCTTGTTACTTGGGAGAAGACACTAACACCCACCTGGCTACAAGGGGAGAAGACACTAACACCCACCTGGCTACAACCTCCTTTCAGGTAGTTGTAAAGAGCAATAAGGTGTCCCCTCAGCCTCCTCTTCTCCAGGCTAAACAACCCCCGTTCCCTCAGCCGCTCCTCATAAGACCTGTGCTCCAGAGGCTTCACCAGCTTCACTGCTCTTCTTTGGACATGCTCCAGCACCCAATGTCCTTTTTGTAGTGAGGGGCCCAATACTGAAGACGGTATTCAAGGTGCCAAGTACAGAGGGACAATCACTTCCCTGGAGCAGCTAGCTATATGCTATTTCTGACACAAGCCAGGATGCTATTGGCCTTCTTGGCCACCTGGGCACACTGCTGGCCACAGTACTAAGCCCTGTGGACCACCACTTGTGTCCAGCTGCCAACCAAATTTAACCCCATTCACCACAACTCTTTGGGCCTGGCCATCCAGCCAATTTTTTACCCAAAGAATAGATCCATCCAAGGCATAAGCAGCCGGTTTCCTCAGGAGAATGCTGTGGGAAACAGTGTCAAAGGCTTTACTAAGTCCAGGTAGACAACATCCACAGCCTTTCCCTCATCCACTAAGCAGGTCACCTTGTCACAGAAGGAGATCAGGTTAGTCAAGCAGGACCTGCCTTTCTTGAACCCATGCTGACTGGGCCTGATGCCCTGGTTGTCCTGTACGTGTCGTGTGATGGCATTCAGCATGACTTGCTCTGTAACCTTCCCTGGCACCAAGGTCAGACTGACAGGCCTGTAGTTCTCCAGATCCTACTTACAGCCCTTCTTGTAGATGGGCATCACATTTGCTAACCTCCAGTCAACTGGGACCTCCCCAGTTAGCCAGTCTGTCTACTGACAGACAATTTCTTCCAAGGCAGGCAGGTAATCCCAAAGACAGCTGAATGCAATGGACAGTTGAGCGGGAGATTTTTCACCAGCGCTATCAAAAGCCAGGCTACCCACCTACACCCACTGAAGTTCTCCTGCATGACAGGAAGTACTGCAGCATGCATGCAGAGGTCAAAGACATCCAAGTCTTGAAACCTATCACTTCTCATTAACATGACACTTACAAACCATTAAAACTATAATATTTAAACCTTCAAACAGTTTTTCTATATTCAACACCTCGCAATATACCTCCTGGAAGGATTCCAGCTCTTTTTTTTAATTATATCAACTTTCCAAAACATAAATGCAAACAAGATGGCATCAAGAGAGCAGCAGAAACAGACGTCACATCTAACACCTTACCTAGACTCAACAGCAGAGACTGGAAAGAACTCAAAAGTTCCCAAGATCTTTGATTCTCATGATGCATGACCAAGGACAGACTTATTTCAACATGAAAAAGCCTTGCTGTTCAGCAGATCACTGCAAGATGACATCTGTTGGCCCTAACACTTTGTCCTGACAGTACTAAAGGCAGCAAGATGACAACAAGGTTTTTCTACATTATATATATAAAAAAATATAAAGTAGGTGCAGGTTCCAGACTAGGTACTGCCTTCAGATGTACTTCTGATATGACACAGTGAAAATCTATCATGCTCATAACAGCAAATTAGAAGCTTAGGAAATAGCTTTGTACTCCTTCCAGAAACAGAAATCCTAGCAGTCTGTTCAGCCAAACCACATTAATTGCTTTGCATGTGACTACCTGTAGATTATACATTAATTTTGTTGGGATAGGAAATGAGAAGTGGAAACCCGTAAAAGCCACAAAGTCTGGACTGACATTAAGTGTTAGCCAAATATAAATACTTATTGCTAAATAAACAGAACTGCCACGGAAGAGCCGGGGAAGTTTCAACAAGCCATTCTTTTTTACCAAAATAAACAGGAAAGTTCTTTGGTAAAGAATGCTCAGCTGAGGCACATGGTAAGACACTGTATTAACAGAAGCCACTTCAGAAGTAAGCTTGCGTCACCCAGTAGGGCCCATCTTTCATGGGATTGTCAGAAAACCATCCTAGTACAATTCATGTTTTGCTGTGCATGTACTGAACACCAAGAAATCTCCCACACTAACGTTCCAGGCCCACCACTCCCCAAGTTAGACCTCTACCTGCCTCAAGACCATAAATGCAGAGCCAGATGCAGAACCATAGACTGTTCAAGATGAAAATGGATTGCTTTCTGGAAAACTTTCTCTTTTCAAATTAAAAAAAGCTAAAACAAACCACATATTTGCAAGCAGAGTTGTAAAACTGCAGACAGATGTTTTGCAAGTGTCTTAAATGATATTAAGATTAGCAATCTGAAGGAAAGCAACCAGAAAGATCAGTGCCAAGGTGAAGAAGTGACAACATAATACAAGCAAATGCATCTCCAGAAAGAGATAGACGAGACCTTCAATTTTTTTACCTGCCATATGTTATTGTAGGACCATACAGTATCAAGTATATGAAGTCTAATTTAAAAACAAGAAAAGCAAATACTCCTCACATGTAATTCAGGTAACTCCTGTTGTTACTGCTGTCCCCAAGAGCCCAGCTGCAGCTTAGCAGCACAGAATGCTTTTAGCAATAGCCACATTTACAGTACTTGCCTTCTGAAGTTTCTCTACTGTGATAGGAAGAGAAATCAGATCAGAAGCAGCCTTTATGTTGCTTTTGAGATGATTTACTGTTGAGGTCAATAGTGATATCTAAAAACAAAGAGGAATATTTAGAATTAGTCAACATAATCCTGATTTTGACCTTCCCCAATGCTAATGACTTAATTTGTAACATTAAAACATAAGACAAGACAAAATTATATGTGCACACATAAAAAACACCCCTGGCTGTAGGTTAGAAGTCCTGCCTAGGCTACATTAAAAATTATTCTGCCTCTTGCAACAGAAGATTTTTTTTTTTTTTTAAACTGAATGAAAGTCATAGAAGCCCCTTCTTTTCAATAAGGTACCCTCCGCCCATTTTACATTCATCCCCTTAGAGAGAGCCTGTTGCCCAAGAGAGGTGTAAAAAATTGTGCAAGAAGCCCTTGCATGGAGGAAACAAGTCATCCACTTCTGTATTCAGCAATCAAATCCGGCTGGCAAAACCCAGCAAAGCCATGCAACTTCTCTAGCTGAGTGAAGTTGCACATATCACCCAAACCTTCTGCTATAGAAGTGGAACAGTGACAACCAGAGTATAGCAGATTAACTAAATTTCTGTCAACTGTTTGACCCAGACAGCAAGTTATTCAGTGGGTCAAGATTACTTATTCCAATTGAGAGGTGGTCAGATTAATTAAAAACAACTAGTCATTAATTGCTAACACTATTGCTTTAAGGTCAATTTGTAGCCATTGGTAGTCAAAACAAAGAAAAATAATTTCTTTTCACATTTGACAACACAAAAGTAGAACAGATAAAACCCACTTTCTTCTGGTTAAAAAAGTTGTTTCACAAGCTGGGGAAATGGGCAAGATCCTAACTTTACCGTAGGCCAATGCTGATCAGCTGGCGTGCAGTCTCTGGTTCCACAGCTGTGAATATTGGCTGAATTAAATTCCCAGCAGTACATCCCAACAATTCACGGAAAACAACAGTAACTAAATTTTGATCCCCAGAAGAGCTGGCTCAGACTCTAACCAGACCCTGAGGTAACTTGAGGGCCTGCAAGAACCATGTGCAAGTATCTTTAACGTCCACGTGCAGATGATAGTGTTTTAGAAGTCCAATGAAGCACCCAAATATCTGTGGATAATGCATACTGTCAGGTGCCCGAGAAAGCAAGTCAAATTTTCAAATATATTTGTGTGCCCCATTAAGCACTTAACCACTGCATGGGGCTGAAGAAAAACCAATCCGAGCAGGCACCTCAATATTCTTAAAAACTAAACCCAAAGCACCAGTGTCAGGGAAGGTTCCCCACACACGGCTCTCAATACCACTACCTGTGAGTAGCTCTGAACTTTTAGCCTCCGAGGCAAGAATTTCAATAAGAGCCTTGCTGGATGCTTTGTTTGAAGCATGAGTTAATACAGCAACTGAGGAAACAGCTTTCTGTTAAGTAGCTTAGTTCTAGCTGCATAAACAGAGCTAAGATTTACAGCAGCTCAGATTCTGAGTGTGTATTATCAGATTTTATATTCACAAGACACCACTACTTCATTTGTAGCAACATGAACTTGCACTGATTTGGGTAACTTTTCCACATTTATAAAACATTTGCAGACACTCTCAGAAACTGAAATGTCAAATGTCTCATCATAAACATCACAATTATTTGGCAGGAAAATTAAGAACCACACAGCTGTCAGGTTCTTTTAAGTTCTGCCTGAAGTCTTTCCACCAGTTGCATAATTTCTTCTCTTTGCGATCAGTCTCCAGTCCAACTGGATGCTCAAAATTTTTGCTTGTTTAATAACGAGGCTTATAGTCCTTTTTAACTTTTATTTTAAAAGTTTAGCATATGGTCACAGAAGTCCTTAGATAAAAGCTCAGCACTGCACTTGAAATTAATTTCTGCAAAAATAAATTTGAATGGAATATTTTATTATTTTTCAAAACCAAGCACTGATCCCTCTCACCTGTTTATTGATCTCTGTGATATTTATCCAAATTTTATTTAGCCCCAGTTCTCCAGTCTCAATTTGTTCTAGTTGCTTTTGCTTCTGCACCAAATCTTCATTCAGTTTAGGAATCTCTTGGAATGATGTCTTTTGATTAGATTCCACTAAAAAAAAAAATTAAATTTGTTTAAACCCCCCCCAAAAAGTCCAGGTAAATGGTACTGAAAGGCAAAAGCCAAATTACAAGCAGCAACATCTACCGCTGTGAAAGGCGGCAATAATAGGTTCTAAATGTAGTTTTATTGCCAATTCAAAACTAAGTGTTTGTTCAGAATGACAGCTCTTTTTTGTTTTAAGAGCACTAACGTCCGCAAAGAGAACTCAGAGAGCCTGTACTAAATTTAATACTTTGCAATAGTACTGTCATTCTGGCAAGCCTTAGCAGGTCTTTATTTAGTGCAGTTATTTTACATTACTTTCACAAAGAGACATGAAACAGTAATGAGATGGTAAATAAGAACTGCCAACAGAACCAGGGCAAAGGAGGTACACAAAATGAACCTTGGTGCCCTTCTCAAGCCTGCGAAGGGGTTGCAATGAAGTGAATTCCAAAGAGATTAACATGATTACAGTCATTCCATGTGACAGAAAGGCAAGTGAAAAAATGTATAAGCTTACACACTAGCATCTGTTGGTAAACAAACCAGTAAACAAGGTGCTTGGAAATAAAGTCAGTTATTACTGCAATTAATACTAGAGGAAGAGGGAAACATGCAGCTCAAATTCAAGTGTGCCTCAGAAATGCAGCTCTTCCAGGTCTGCAGTGACTAAGCTGTTTAGCTGCAAGCACTGTTAGGCAATCCTAAATCCCTAGGTCTGGGAAACAAATACGCAAAGGTTTTGAGATGGAGATGACAGAGTTCTCCAAAACCTGCACCTCCACCCTGTAACGCAGCACTGGAATGCTCCACAACAAACAGCCATCATTCAGACCACAGACCCCCAAGAGCAGTGGGACATACGTGGTACGTAGCTGGCAGCTCCCAGAACAAATTTCCTTGTGCAACCCACCCAGTCAAAAGGGGAAGCCTTCACGAGTGCTTCATGCCTGTGGAGTTGGATGCCCAAATACACACAACCAGAAAGCTGTGCATCTTCAAAAACCCACTTCACTTTTCTTGAAGCAAGTCCTAAAAGTCATTTCTAGGCACAGAGTAATCTCCGTTGATCACTCAAGATCCAAATAACACTTTCAGTTAAGACATTGAAAGGTATATTTTAGCCAAAACAGACTGAGAGCTATTTGTGTTTGACACAAGCAGTTCACACTGCATCTGATGTTTCAGAAACTCTTGCAGACAAATTATTTTTTGTTTTGCCAATCTCACTATGTACAGTGAGACTCCACTTAACTTTCCTAGCACTGCAAAAACCATTAAAGTGCTATATGCATTCTTAGCATCATTACTAACAACCGAATGAAAACACTACAATAACTTTCCCCTACCCCAAATACACTACATGCAAATACATCTCATTTTAGGAAAGCACTCATACCATACACAGTTTGTTCAAAGCATGGCAGAACATTAACAAATACCAGCATGGGAATCCACTCTTATAGGGAAAAAACCTGGATGAAGATTCAGAGGAGGAAGATTCTTTTTCCAAACCTGCTGCTGGACAGACAGATCCCATGCCTTTGTTTCTGCAACCACCTGTCTCACCAAAGCACAATGTTAACTTTTGGAACCAGGTTATTTTTGCTGTCTTTTTTTATTGTTCTTTTTAACACTGTTCCTCATTACGAGACTCACATCCAGCTTCTAGGCAGGCTATTACAGTGGCAAGGAAATCTGAGACTATTTTATCACTAGACCAACTATTAAATGCACAGCTTTTCTATCAGAGCTATTGAGGAGAAAACAGACATGCCATCCGTAATTGCGAGACAGCAAGAGAGACAGAGAGAACTGCTTTAACAAAGAGGTCTGTGTAGAACAGGAATGATGAAACTTAACTACACCAAAGCCAACAACTGTTGGCATTGTGCAAAACTTTTACTGCGGGTACATACTTAAAGCAGACCAGTCCATGAAGAGTAGTAGTCGGCTTACCCAGAACACAGAAACAGCTACGCAGAGCTGTTGGGTATGCTCACAGCCACAAAGCAGCACCTGTAACTGAAGGTATCCTCCACAACTGGTGGACAACAGTTACAGCTAACTTTCAGAGTTCAGTATCAGCTAATGCAGAAGTACATCTATCAGTAACACTTTCTTTCACTCCCAGGCAGCAGGTTCCACCTTGGCAGACACCTCCCCACCTCATAGCAGAGTTACATGCCTGAACAGGAAGCCCTAAACACCAGCAGCAAAGAATTTCTACATACATTTTCTCAATACCTCTTCTACCACAAGCAAATCCAGCCCCCTGCTTACCTCCAGCCTTAGCAGCCTCCTAATTTCTTAACTGATTTCACCAGCCTTATTTAAGGTCACCTTCACATCAGGGGCACAAAAATTCTAAGATGAAGACCGAAGCTATGGGACAAAACCCAGTCAACAACGGTGCTCCTTAGGCAAAATGTTAACTACCTAGCTTTCCTGAAGCAGACTACCTGAATGCTTAACCTTCACTCTTCTCCTCCATTCACACAGCTCCTCAGCTTATCCTTGCCTTTTGCAATATATAGGATTTTAAACACTACTAAAATAAGGCATCAAAACGTATCTTGTGTACAGCGGTGAGGCATAGAGAGCCAAGAGCACACGTTACATGCAAATCTCACTGTTTGTTATACCTCAGCATTACAGAAGTTATAATATTGAAACCTTACACAGACAGGGAAAACCTGAGATCTACAAGCAAAATGCTTCATGTTAACTCCATGCTTCAAAGTGTGAAACATGATGTAACTCCACACTGTATGCAACACGACATAAAAGCTGAACAACAACAGGTCAACACAAGCAAGATAAACATCAGAGGATACGAAGGAAAAAAACATTACATCGATGCAACACTCAATTGCAGTAATGCCACGGCAAGTATTAGAAGTTTTTAGAAGAGCTCAAGACAAGAACAATGTTTTCCATTAATGTTTTTTAAGGGATGAAGCAAAATCCCCTAAACTGCTTTTACGGGGCTGATCAGAACTTTTACTTTTTAAACAGGGGCTTCCTTTGGAAGAGAGCACTCCCAAAACCAAAGTCAGGAATTTTAGAAACATAAGTAAAAGCAACTACAGGCCCACTGAGTCCAGCATCCCTACTCCTCAGGAGACATACAGCAGACAAGAATATATAACATTTGCCTTAGATTCGCCCAGCCTCCAAGTGTTTTTGGCTCAGAGGACTCCTCAATCCAGGGGCAGTTTGTCTGCTCAGTACCTTCAGATTTTGAATAAGCAGGCAGGCAACTAAAGCTCTTCATACTGCCCAAAGCAAATGTGGAATAGCATAGTTACATTGACACTACTTACTAGTTCGAAACTTCTCCTTTATTGCATCCAGATCCTCCTTGAGAGCCACCTGCATCCAGACTAAGCCAACGCACGCTACCACACAAGCAGCAAGAATGACAAACGCGCATAATGGGTAACACAACTTGCAGCATCGTAGATAGTCTCCCCTGGATAAAACAAAAAACAACAGATTGTGAATATTCAACAGTACCAAGGAAAGTTTTATTTTAAATGCTCTTCTATCAAAGTAAGGGACAGCGCTGGAACAGCACGTGTTTTGGCTGACAAGAGCTAACAAAGAGCTTTTCCAAGAATAAATAAGGCTACGGAGAGAGATCAGGGCTATTACTCTCTGTTCAGTTTATCCTCAGGAGGCACATCTAGCATATTTTAGAGCAGCTGTCAGGTTTCCTTTACTAAGACTTCCTGCTCTGCTCACATAAACTTGTTAGGAACATCTGCTTGATAGCTTGGAAAGCAACTTCAAGAAAGTGTATTACCATAATGTTATCACAAGTACTTCTAGATTATCCCAAACTGCAAAAGCCTAAGTTTCTCTGAGACGAGCCTACTTTTAATTATTCTCAGAGGCCCATTAACAACGCTGTTACCTAACAGAAAAGCTTATTTATTGGCAAAAGCACATCACATCCATGAGAAAGCCAACACTGCCTCAGCTTGCAGACACAGGATTGTACCACGCTGAACACACACAGATAACTGCGCTCAACATTTCAAGCAACTAACCCCAAGCTGCTCTAAGGACTGCAGCTGCAGTGAGCGTAAAACAGAAAACACAAGAAGAAAAAAGCCGGAGGGTGGTTCAGATCCACTTCTGCACCCAGCCAGGCCACCTGTTGGGCCAGACACGCTCAGGGCAGCTCCAGGTCTTTCCTGGCAGTCCCCAGCGCCCCACAAGCCCCGA